TAAGGTAGGTGCAGGAGCCAATATCCTTTGGTTTTCTCTATTTACCAGGTTAGACTCGAAGGTTGACTCTATGTTAGTTATAACAAGTCTTTCCAACTTCTCTAACAGACTGTTAATGTTTATGCAACAGTTTTGCCCTGCAGCTGACCATTCGGCGTTACACTTCTTCCTGCATTTAACTGACTAACACTGACACAATAGGCGAACGTTGGCGCAAGTTTGCAGTCCTGCGTAATGGCCACAATAAAGAGCGAGGCTTCTCCTTCAGTTCTTTATTCTGCCAAACCTGCCAAATCTGTATGCTCCGTATATTATACGCTTAACTTGATCGCGTTTTAATTGTTTTCGCTAAGATCTATGCTAGCGAGGGGACAAAAATGAGCAAAAGGAACCACTACTTCACTCACCCTTCTTTATAGCCTCGGTTAAGTGAATTGATTCTTCTAGAAGGCTACAATTGCATGCGCTTCACCTTCCTCGCCCGTGCATTGTGCTGCCCACATTCTGTTTGACTCAAATCGACAAAATTGCATCTACAAGGCCATAACGGGTGAGCTTTTCAGGTGGGGAAACATCTACCACTGCGTCAATGCATATCCAGTGCTAAAGACTTTATCCCAAAAAAGGGCAACAAAAGAGCACTGCCCGATTTGATGAAAGGATGCGCTCATGTCATGTCAAACATTGTGCTTGTACAATCCCCTTGAGTGTCTCAAAGCACGTACATTCGTGGGGATGGTTAAAATCATGGCGCAGAAACCACCCACAGTCTGACCAATCAGCCACATTCAAGCATTGGTGCCATTTTGGGCGCATGAACAACACTTTCTATGAAGGAACTTAATTGATTTGCGGTCACGCTCGCCTAGGGCGAAACGCGTCTCGGTAAAATGTTTATTTTATGTAAGCATTTGTATGACTCAACTCGACACGAGCAGTCGTATCACTGCCCATGGATGTGTAAAAAAGACAATGCAACTGCATAGAGGTCGACACATAAAATCCTATGATGAGTGGTCTTGGATGAAGAATGAGGTAATAGAAGGTTGATCGAAACGTTTGACGGGGCGAAGGTAGAGACGAGGAGTAATATTCTGCCACAGCGAATGTGCTGCATTTTAGGTGGCACGGTTTGAAGGCAAATAGTGCGGTTACTATAAATTACCTTCAATTTTAGAGGTACAATGCGGACACCTTTATACGTTTGAATAAATTTGTACAACCAAATGCAAGTTGAAGTGCAATGCAAAAAAGTAAGTAAGGCACCGTCTAATCATCTCCACGCTCACCGCGGTCAGAACATTCTATTCCGGGTTAAAGACAATCATCCCTGAATGCACCGACTTTTGAAGCTGTTGCGACATACATCTTTAAA